CCATATCTGCATTTTGGGGCACCCCAAGCCCAGTTAACACTATGATCCTTGCCGAGTCATAGAGGTACTACCCTGGTGATCTTGGATAAGATCCTGAAGAATTCTCTGGATTACCAGGCAGAGACTCTTGTTCTCTCCCCGTTCTTTCTCCCAAATAAAGTCTCTGTCTGCTTCGAGGCACCTGGAGCTGGGGATAGGATTATACAAGCAGCCCTGTGGTCACCACCACTGTAACTGCACTGGGTCAGACCCGAGTCCAACACAGCACTGGGTTTCACCAAAGGCCCACTATAACTACTACCTATCTCTTATGTTCACTCAGATTCCTAGGGCTGTGCAGTCAGTAAGTGGCAAAGCCAGACAGGCTTTTGTCCTTCCTTTGAGGGTGGTAGGTTCCCCCAGGCTCCAGGTAAGTCCAGAGATGCCATCCAGGAGTAAAAGCCTAGAGTCAAAAATTCTAGAAATCTACCTGATGCTGTGTTCTACTGTGACTAAGCTGGTGTTCAAACCACAAGACAGCATCCTTCCCATTCTTTCCTCCCTTTTCCAAAGGCAGAGGAGCCTCACCCCATGACTGCCACTGCCACAGGCCCATGAAGAGTGCTACTCGACTACTGCTGATGCTCCCTTAAGGTCCAGAGTCTCTTTGGTCAGCTCGTGGTGATGCTGCCAGATCAGGGACTTACCCTTCAGGGCAGTGGGCTCCCCTTTAGCCCAGGGCAGGTCCAGAAATGCCATCCAAGAGCCAAGTCCTGGAATTGGGGAAACCAAGAGCCCATTTGTTTCTCTACCCCACTGTAGCCAAGCTGGTACCTAACTTGCCAGACAAATTCCTCTTTACTTTTCCCTTTGCTTTTCTCAAGCAGAATGAGCCTCGCCCTGTACCTGCTGCAGCTAGGAATGTGCTGAGTCTTACCTGAAGCCAGCAAGTCTCAGAGTCTCTCACCCAAGGCCGTCGATGTAATACCTTGGTATTGCTGCTGGGCCCAAGGGCTCTTCAGTCAGCAGGTGATGAATCCTGCCAGGACTGGCTCCTTTTCTTCAGTGCAGCAAGTTCCCTTCTGGCCCAGAGTGTGTCTAGAAATGTTCAGGAGCTAGGGCCTGGAAGGGGGACCTCATGACTCTAACTGGTGCCCCATCCTGCTGTGACGGAGAATATTCAAGATGCAAGATAAAGTCCTCCCCACTCTTCCCTTTCCGTTCCTCAAGCAGAAGGAAGGTGTCTCTTTTGTAGCCATGAACTGTGCAGCCTGGGATTAGGGAAGGAGTGATGCCAACACTCCTTTTGCTGCCCCGGCTGGTGTCTCACTGGGTTATGTTTCGCCCCCCTGGCCCTGAAACCCCCCAGTCCACTGGCTCTGGGCTCAGTTCAACACTAGGACTTGCCTAGGAGTTGCAGTCCTTGTGGCCTAGACTGCCATTAAAGTTTAATTGAGACACTAGAGCACTTTAACCCACAGTAGCTAGGCTTCTGTGAGCTCAGGAAACTAAAGTTTCAAGTGCTGGGAACAGCCATTCCTCTCTGGCTGGTTTTATGGTTAACAGTTCCTTCTGTGTGTGGTGCCAGCTGAGTTTCAGGTTTTGCTTTCTGCTATAGCAGGGTGGCCCTGCCTCAAAGTTGCTATGTTCTCCCTCTCCCCAGCGCACAGAAATGCTCTCTCCATCATGCCACTGCCGTCAGGGAATGGGAGAGGGGTGGTGTTGGGGATTCAAAATAGTTTTTCCTGCCTCTTCAGTGCCTCTTTGAGTGATACAAAGGTAAAACCAGGTAGAAAATGATTGGTGAAGCCTTGTATTCTGCTATCCTGCTCCGACCCTGACCACCTCTGTCACTCTTTTTTTGAACACAGCTTGTTTGGTAATAGGAGGTAGTCATGTTAAGACTTGTTAATTAAGGAGCATATTTTAAATAGTTCTAATTTGCTCTTAGACTACATATAACAACATCTTCCCTATGGGACAATAGGACTAGATTTGGTAATAATGTTTTCTATCCTGCAGATTTCCTCTCTCTGTTCTTTGGCTCCTCTTCATGCCACCACCATCACTGCAACTGAAAAGACTTCTTACTTCAGAAGTTGGGCAGAGTTACTAATATCTACTTCCCTTGTAGCCAAAGGACTTCTCTGTTATGTTAATGTAATTTATTAAGGAATGCCTGCCATAGAGAGTCAAACAACCTGGGTTTGAATCTTGGCCCTGCCACTGGCTATGACTGTAATCACTCAGTCTCTCAATGTTCTTTCCCCGTTCTGTTAAATGAAAATAAAAACTGTTGTATTGCCCTCATGGAATTAACTGGAGAATAAGGTGAAATAAAGTATCTGAAAGTGGCTTGTAGACTCTAATGTGCCAGGCATTTGGGGAATGAAATAAGTTCAGATCAGCAGCAGCTCTTTTTTTCTTTTTATTTAAGCAGTTGCAGTGTGCCAGGCTCCACGTCAAACTTTGAGGATTCTAACAAGATAGCATAGGTCAAGAAGGTCTTAAATCAGGCTTTTCTTTTCCATTCCTTAATACCTTGCCTAAGTCCAGGTCCTCATCATCTCCTTTGGTTTCTTGCTAGGCCTCCTGAACTAGGCTCTCTTAAAAAGTCTCATCACTCTTGATGTCATGTCACTGCTTCTAGAGTTATCTCTTCAAAAGCAAAGTTGATTATGTCACCTCCATAAAGGTTTTACTCTGTCATTTGTCCACTGCCCACAAGACAAAATTTAATTGACCTCAGTTTACCTCCAGTCCAGCCTCATCTCCTATCAGTATTTTCATATACCTTCAGCTTCTGCCTTACTGAATTTCTCCATTTTCTCTGACATGACAGGGAAGAGACCAAGTCCCAACTCTGATTTTGCACATTTAAGTCCTCAGCCTGGAAAGCCTGCCTCAACCTTCTTCAACATTTTTGTTATTTCAGACTCGGTCGTAACTTGGACTCCTCTGACTTGAATTCCCCAAGGAGAGTGAGCTCCTGTAATCTTATCTGTTCCCATGGCACTTTGTTCTTTCTTTGATGTGATGTATTTTATTCTGTGAGCTCTTGAAGTGCTAGAATTTAAGATAAGATAATGAATAAGGCATCCTGCCTAAGAAAATGTGGCAGATTGAATGATGGCCTTCAAAAAGATGTGTCCACATCCTAATCCCTGGAACCTGTGAATGTGGCCGTATTTGGAAAAAGAGTCTTTGCAATGTAATTAAGTAACTAATTCTGTTACGGTAATTATGGTAATTTGTTACAGCAGCTCTAAGGAACTAATGTATTAATAGAAGGTTATGGTATAATGGCTGGAACATAATCAAATACTATTGTCATCACCATCAGTACCATTACTATAGTCACCATTACTCTTATCACCTATCATGGGACCTGAAAAGTAGTATGTGCTTAGAAGATAGTGGTTGAATAAAAATACAGTTCTTGCCTGTGGGATTCCAGTCTGTTGGTAGTGGTAGTGGTGTTGATGAGAAATGTGCTTAAAGGTGGTATTGAAAGAGAGCTTCCAAAGTAGACTCCCTCTTAAAGTTTTGTTTTAAACGTCTTTTTGTGTGTTTGTGTGACAGGTGACATTAGATCTTTTAAAATTGTTTTTTAGAAACACTTTTGTACATTTTGAATTGTCCTTTTAGAATAAAGCTAATTTTGTACAAATAGACGTTATAATGCCCAGCCCCCGCAATAGAGAAAATGTTGTTTTTGGAAAACTGATGAGCACTTATAATTCTACCAGTTTAAAAAATCTTAAACTATTCTTTTTCCCTAATAGAATGTTAAGTAACTAAAATTAATTTCATGTTCATTGGCCTTGAAGTACCATTTAGAGGTGTATCTTGGAGCAATAATTTATTCCATCATGCCACAAGGTGCTTGAAAATCAACCAAAATTTACAAATACTCATAAACCCAAACTGGGTGAGTTACATGTAACTGTAAATTTTACTTTGCTACTGGAAGAATTATTACCAATGCTTCATGACTTGGTGTAATTAAAATAAAAGCTAAGGTTAATGAAACTCTTACTCCATGGTAGACACTGTTCTAAGCTTTTTACAAGAATTGTTAGTTTGTTCTCATAACCACTCTGCTTTCGTACATATTCTCTTTACTCAAGAGGAAGCTGAGGAATGGAGTGGTCAAGTAACTTGCCTAAGGTTATTTTTGCTTAAATGGCAGAGGTTCATAGTGACCATGGCTCATAACCTCTGCACTGCCCTGACTCGGCATACCATGTCAACTTTCATTCTTTAATACAATTTGAAGTAGCGAATATCAGTATATCATCATAAAAAAGATCCTTATCTAATTTCATAGTGGTTCAAACTTTAATGTGAATCTACAGGAATTCTGATTAGTGGGGCTGGGAATGTGAATTTTAAATAAGCACCCAGGCGGCTCTGACTGTACTTTGAGATACACTGATCTGGTTACTACACAACTCCTACAGTTCACTTATGGCTTATTTGTGTGCTTTAAGTTAGGCTACTTTTTGCATACATCTGTGTTCAAGGATGAGTCTATTGAATACAAACATGTATCTAAACTTAAGTGCCCACCCTAGTAATCACATTTCTTTTTGTGGAGAGTGAATACAAGGACAGCATCAGAGAGATTCATTTTTTTTTACCTTTTGTATGAGCTTCAGAATCTGGTGTGTTGACCTGAGGAAACTGTTAAGATGAATGTAAGAGAAAGCATAACATAAAGTTTCTACCCTAGTGGTATTTTATATATTGTTTTTATTAAAAGAAAATGTTAATGTAAATTCCCCTTCGCGGTAGAGTAGCAGTTCCATTATTTGGGTTACTCCGAATATTAACTGTGGCCATGGAGGGAGTCTTCTCTTTTAAGTTTATTTAGTAAGAAAACTTTCACCCATTTGTACTACCAAAAACTCTGATTATGTGTGGTTTAGAATATGGGGGAAACACTAGGCTTTCAAATTTTACTCCTTCAGTATTTTAGTTATATATCAAACTGGCTAACATGTTTTTCTTTCTTCTAGGGAGGTCACAAATCACATTGAGCCAAAACGCATACAGTGTTTTCTTCAGTTACAAATAAAATGAATATGCCCATGCTGCTACCACATCCTCACCAGCATTTCCTAAAAGGCCTTTTAAGGGCACCTTTCCGATGTTACCACTTCATCTTTCACTCAAGTACTCATCTCGGATCAGGAATCCCATGTGCTCAGCCGTTTAATTCTCTTGGACTCCATTGTACAAAGTGGATGCTGCTGTCAAATGGTTTAAAGAGAAAATTATGTGTACAAACAACCTTAAAGGACCACACAGAAGGACTTTCTGATAAAGAGCAAAGATTTGTGGATAAACTTTATAGTGGTTTAATCCAAGGGCAAAGGGCCTGTTTAGCAGAGGCCATAACTCTTGTAGAATCAACTCACAGCAGGAAAAAGGAGTTAGCCCAGGTGCTTCTTCAGAAAGTATTACTTTACCACAGAGAACAAGAACAATCAAATAGAGGAAAACCACTAGCATTTCGAGTAGGTCAGTCTTTTTATGTGTGTTTTTTCAGTAAATAGTTTTGCAAATTCTCTATATTCTATTTAAAATAAAAAAGTCTAAATAGTTTGCAATTGAATGGGGACTTTTTTCACAATATTTGGATGAATTTTAAATAAGTCTTCATGGCAAATATTAGTTTTGTTAAGCTGAAAAAATTGCCATGACATTTGAACCAAGGCTATGAATTTTAAGAAAAGAATATAAGATTTTTATTTTGGTAAGAATCTTGCTCTGGATCCCAGGGTAGAAATATTCATAGGAAGAACTATTATGAGTTTACTCCTATTCGTTTTAGTAATCCTTTGGCTTAAATAGTTTAAAGTGAGTTCCCTGTTTTGTTGTCGTATCAACTATAATTATCACGTTTCAAAATTCTGCCTCTTAGGTCGTTCATTAGTCTTTGTATAGGCAAGTCTCATTTCTTTCGGGTACTTTTTATTGAGTTTCTGGGAGTGGCTGTAAACCCAGCCATCTCAGTAGCAAAAGGTATTTTATTTATTTTTATTTTTTATTTATTTTTTGCGACAGTTTTGCTCTGTCACCCAGGCTGGAGTGCAGTGGTACAATCTTGGCTCACTGCAGCCTCTGCCTCCTGGGTTTGTGCAGTTCTCCTGCCTCAGCCTCCTGAGTAGCTAGGATTATAGGCATGCACTCCCACGCCCAGCTACTTTTTGTATTTTTAGTAGAGACGGGGTTTCACCATGTTGGCCAGGCTGGTCTTGAACTCCTGACCTCAAGTGATCCACCCATCTCGGCCTCCCAAAGTGCTGGGATTACAGGCATGAACCACTGTGCCCAGCTATTTTGTTTTTAGAGGTGGAGTCTCACTCTGTCACCCAGGCTGGAGTGCAGTGGTGATCATAGCTCCAACATCATGCTTGGCTCCAACATCATGCCTCCAACATCATCCTTGGCTAATTTTTTTAAAAAGTTTTTTGTAGAGATGGGGTCTCATTATGTTGCCCAGGCTGGTCTCGAACTCCTGGGCTCAAGCAGTCCTCCCACCTTGGCCTACCAAAGTGCTGGGACTACAGGCATGGGCTACCATGCCCAGCCTATCAAAATGTGCTTTAAAAAAGAGATCATATTTATTCGTTGTCTGTATATTAGATGTTCATTTGATTTCTTGAACAATTTGACGTGGTTCTGAAATTGCTTTTGAAATTGTGCATTGTAAAACAATTTAGATATGTTCGACCAGCAGGAATTAAACAAGCCAGTTTAAGTGTAATGAGAATGTCCCAGGGTGGTGAACTAGGTGATTTGAACCAACCCTCCTGCTAAAAACAACTTGCCTTGGTGGTTAAAGTGCAAAAATTTTGTGGAGAATGAGTAAATACTTTTAAAATTTCATGTCACATTACATCTTTATCTCACAGTTTATTGGCAATGCAGACACAAAAGCCTCCTAGTTTTTAGGGTAATGGGCATAGATGCTTTAAGATAATTTCAAAAGAGCTCACCAACCAATATTTATACTGGTCCCCATTTTTCAGACTTCTTAATCTTCTGCCCTGACTGAGGGACTCTCATTTTGAGAGTACTACATTGGACGTTAATAATCTTTATGTATGGTAATCAAAGATATTAGCAAACTCCCACAGAGAAATTCTAGTTATGACAAACTGCCTACTTACTAGATTTTAGAGAATCTTTGAAAAAATGTCTCAGAAATGTGTGGAATTAACTAGCAGTTCACAGGTAACTTTGTAGTGCTATTCTGGTTCTTCTGTCCTGATCTTGTGAGGCCAGATAAACCTGTCTTTATTGCAGTTATTTTTTTCATCATAAGTAAAAGCAACAGATGTTTATTCAGCATCTAAAAAGGTGTTTAAGATAAATATTGGATCTGCCCTAAGAATTGTGGTAAGGAGTCAGGCATACCGTACACTATACATACTTTGAGTGTAGTTAGTTAGATGCCTATGTTTTATGTATTTCACTTAACATACATTTATATATCTCTTATGCCATGCACTGTTCTAAACATATTGCAGACATTAACTCATCTAATTATTAAAACAATCTGAAGAGAGCAGTACTGTTACCATATCTATTTTATTGTTGCAGTGGACACTGAGGCATAGAAAGAGGTTTAAAGTAACTTACCCAAGAGCACACAGCTCGTGGGAGGTAGAGCTAGAATGAGAGCTGGCTGCGTGGCTTCAGGGTTTGTGCTCTTACCTGCTGTGCACTGCCAGCTCTCCAAGTGGGGGAATTTTCTGATTTTCTTAACAAATTATTTTTTTCAGAATTCAGTTTATATTCTTTGAGTTACGAGTGATATGAAGAAAAAAGATGATCCCTTATAAATAGAAAATTGCTTTCTCAATCACTGGGAATTTCTAGAATAATGAGTTGTTTTTCCAGTGGGAAGAAGTATACAGAACTGAGGTAGGTAGAATAATTACTGATCATGATGCAAGGTGGGCAGATATAGAAATTGAGCCCATTAACAATGGAGACAATGAAGTCTGTCCAGAAAGATCTACTTTATAGTACAAAGGCAAAGCATGTTTTATAATTTTTAAAAGTGAATTTTGTGAACATGTGGAACCCAGAGTGTTTCCTTCCTATAGCCCCATTACTCAGGAATTAAAGAAACAGATTTTTATTTGCCATTTTAGGACATGCTGAAATATATGAATTGTGGTTTTAATACATTAGGGGAACTAGAAGGTAGTCTAATATTTTACTCAGTAAAGCTGATCGTAGTTCTGATTTCATTTGTTTCATTGAATTAGAAGATCTCTTTCCACCATAGGGTTGTCTGGGCCCCCTGGTGCTGGAAAATCAACATTTATAGAATATTTTGGAAAAATGCTTACTGAGAGAGGGCACAAATTATCTGTGCTGGCTGTGGACCCTTCTTCTTGTACTAGTGGTGGTAAGTATGGCTGATTCTTTTCAAATTGCAGAGTTCTTGGGGCTTTCTGTTATAATTTAGTAGGAATTAGCACAGTTGGGTGACCTCTAACTGCTAGCTAAGTTTGGTTTCGCTGAAGGAAGGGAGTTCTGCAGAGTTAGGTGGAAGTAGTTTGGGAGTGTTGTCCTCTACAGAGGAGGCCAGCTTGTGGATAGCTCAGTGGGCACTCAGAAAACTGCGACAACAGGTGCCAGAAGTTGAAGATGATCAAATGCAAATTTCAGTCCTTCAGCTCCCATGCATAAGGCCAGGCCCCTCTTTGCTCCTGTTGTGTTTCCTGGCTGCATTAGCACCTGTGCAATTCACAAAATAGGTACTTACTCATGCATCATTTTCCTCATTGTTTTAACATCTCTTAAGCTTTAGAAAAACCTTACTTCTAGGGGCCGGGCGTAGTGGCTTACGCCTGTAATCCCAGCACTTTGGGAGGCCAAGGTGGGCGGATCATGAGGTTAGGAGATAGAGACTATCCTGGCTAACATGGTGAAACCCCGTCTCTACTAAAAATACAAAAAAAAATTAACCGGGCATAGTGGGGGGCGCATGTAGTCCCAGCTACTCGGGAGGCTGAGGCAGGAGAATGGCGTGAACCTGGGAGGTGGAGCTCGCAGTGAGCCGAGATCGTGGCACTGCACTCTAGCCTGGGCGACAGCAAGACTCTGTCTCAAAAACAAAAAACAAACAAACAAAAAACACCTTACTGCTGTTTATAATTGTCAACTGTTTACATAATATGTTCAGTTAAACAGAAAGCTCTTAGAGGGGCACTGTAATATACTGCCGTTCCCCTTACGGCATTTAGCATAGTACATTGTATGTCGCACAGAATGTTAAGCAATTACTTTCCGATTTGAGGTCATGAAGTCACTCAAAGTTTAATTTGCAACTCATCAGAGATAAAATGAATATAAACTTAGTTCCCCAAAGGATCTTTTAAAGAAAACAGAAAGCATACCATATAAACAGGAAAGGTTTTTTCTTGCCTTACCCCTCTTTATGATTTAAGCTTTTCATATTACAGTTACTCACTTATTTGAGTATTTGAGTGCTTACTATAGGTGAGGCATTGTACATGGAAGATTCTTAAACTGTGTTATATAATGGTGAACAAGATACAGTCCTGGCTTTAGCGAGGTTTACATCTTATGCGAGAAACACAAACACAGGCCATTACAATACAATGTGTGTTGCGAAGGGGTAAATACAAGATGCTTTATGGAAGTATTTGATTTTTGCATACTGTATTATAATGTGGGTTTAATACTAAATATTCAGAATGATGAAGTAATCATATTTTAGGGACTTCGGTTAATATAGACGTGGACAATTCCTATTATCACCCCATTGAGAAATCTAGCTTAGAACTTTCAAAATTTTTGAGTCACTATAATAAAAAAAGTTAACTGTAAAATAAAATTTTTGCTCACAAGGTTCAAAATTAAATCCATGTCAGTATGTTGTCTTATTTACAGCTTTAGAACTTTGTTAAAAGTAAGTACTTAACGAAGGATTTTTTAGTAGGTGGCCCTCATTTATATATAGGTGAGAAGGCCATTCCCCCATTTTCACAATATTCTAGAATACTGAACAATAGAAAAAAAATAATAGTTTGAGATAAAAAATAGACAAAAATAATGTAACAAAATAGCCTATGGTTAAAGTTATATAGCTATGTGGTTCCTAACCTTTCTCAAAAAAATAGTGGTCCCTTTCTCAGGCAAAAAATTATGTAGACTTTGAAAGAAAAAAATACAAGGATAGACACAACACTCTAAATACAAATTTCTACCCTATTGTATCAGTACATACACTTGAAAAACAGCATTACATTAAAGTTTGAGAAGCATTAGTTTTTTGGTCTATAGTCAATCTTTTTTGTGCTTTGAATTCACAGACCCCCTATGATAGCTTTGAGACTTTCATGAGGGTCTACAATTAACAGTTTTGGAATCGCTGGCTAAGACATGGGAGAGTAATTTCCTAATGTTTACTTCAATGTGATGGAATCTATAGGATAGTAATTTAAAGTACAGCTTTGGCAGATTGTTTACTTACACAGAGATTATTTCATGCAGAAAATTACCTTAGAAAAAGGTTGTGTGTGAAGTAAATAAGGAAGTTGATGTATAGAGTACATGTGTGGTCTAGAATTAGAACCTATGAGAAGACTCTGAACTGGCATTTAGTGGTAAAAGAGCATATCTTTAAGAAACTTTTCAATCTTTAACATTATGTGGAAAAGGTAGCTCTTAAAAAGAGGGAAAATAAATATTCAGATCAGAACAGCAGTACACCTACAAATGTTGTTATATGATTAAAGCAAAGTAGTAAAAGGTAATAGTCCCGGGAGTTTTAGTCTTCTAGAATTTGTAAGTATTGATGTTTGTCAAAATATTATACTACAATGAAAACAAAAACATCACCAGTTTCATTCCATAGTTATTGAGTGCCTACTCTTAACACTTTGTTAAGCATTTAGTGTACAACCTATGTAAGGCGTGGTCCTGTAGGCGAATACTTATTTAAAGCATGGTATATCAACCTTGGCAGTAGTGACATTTTAGGTCAAATCATTCTTTGTTGTGGGTGGCTGTCCTGTGCATTGAAGGATGCTTACTTAGCAGCATACCTGGCCTCTACCCAGTAGATGCCAGTAGCACCCTACCCCTCACTTGTGACAAGTAAATATGTCTCTAGACATTGCCAAATTGCCCCCAGTTGAGAACCACTGTGTGAAAGAGATGAGAATTAAAAATATGAAACCAAAAAATGTGTTGTATGAATAGTTTTCCATCCATTAACTCAGCTTACATTGCATTCAGTGAGAGCTCCACATTTTCTAAGTAGTAGGCGATTAGAAGCAACAGACTGGGCAGAAGGGGCAGCTTGAAGATATATTTGTGTAGCATTTACGTAAGGTTGAGAAAATGTCATTTGCAAAAATAAAAGAATGAGGAGTGGAGGGCGCTCATGGAGATAATAGAAAGAGGAGGGACACTAAAGTTCTCTTCTGCCCTCCAGGATGCTGACATACATTGCGGAGCTGTTGTAGCATAGAAAAATCACAGAGATGGGCATGAGCTGAAAAGGTTCCAGGCAGACTATATGAAGGAGCAAGGACTTTCACGATCTTTATTAGGTGGATAAGTTCTGTGTTTTTGTTAGTAACGGTTTTTGAAGCACATGCCTGTATATAATTACATTTGGTTCTCCCAGTAGCACATTACCCTTGTGATGTAGCTGAGGAAAGAGGGGTCAGGAAGGTAAAGTGACCTCTCAAAATTGAACAGTGTGAAATGGTGGGGCCAGAATACAGACCCTGGGCTTGACACGCTATAACTTAGCAGTGAGGAAACAGGAGAGATACTTCTGACATGAGAGCACAAACAAAAGATGGGCAGAAGCAAACAGTGATATTAAGATGACAGTAAAGTAACCACCCTGGTTAGAACAGGGGAGTGGTGTGAGGACTAGTAGAAACCAGAGTTGGACAGGTAAGGTGCGGCTGAAGAATCTAGATTGGAACCTTTGGTCAGGGGGAAGTTAAAATTATAGGTTTTGAGGGACTTGAAATGTTAAGATTAATCTGACATCATTGTATACAATGAGTTGGAGAGAAGCTCAGTAATATGAAATGCAGTTTGAGATTTAGGAAAAAATGGCATAAAGCACTTCCCTCTAGGACCTGGCTGATAATTGACCTGTAAAACTGTTCCACGATTATAAAAGGTAACCGTATGTTTTAGGCTCACTTTTAGGTGATAAAACCCGAATGACTGAGTTATCAAGAGATATGAATGCATACATCAGGCCATCTCCTACTAGAGGAACTTTAGGAGGCGTGACAAGGACCACAAATGAAGTTATTCTGTTGTGTGAAGGAGCAGGATATGACATAATTCTTATTGAAACCGTAGGTGAGTATGATATTCTATTTCATAACAATATACTATTTTATGAATGCTATATAAAGATGAGTGACAACTTATTTTTGTTCATTCAGCAGATATTTGCTAAATGTGTAATTAAATACAAGATATCCCATACTCCATAGAAGATATGAATGTATAGGTTATAATCTGTACCCTCCAAGATCTTATTTTAAAAAGTAAAAATAAGCCATCTATCTGGATAACTGTTACATAGGTGGTATATTATACATGCCAGAGGAGAACTGTAAGCATTAGGATGATCTGTGTAAATGATGCTTTAGCACACCTATTTTGTGTAAGTACATTTCATGTGTCTACTGTGTTCACCAAGAAAATTAATGTAGTTGGCTGCCTTTTGAAAATGCAGATATGTTTTGTTTCATTGTTTTATATCCTTAGCATATAGTTACATGTGATGAAGACACTGAAATGAAAACCCCAATAAATTCTTTCTTGTGGAGAGACAGTCTATTATATTACTGTGTGATAAATGTTTGTGATACAGCCTAACTCAGATTTGGAGGTCCAGTGAAGACTTTGTAGAGAAGGTGACAGCTGAACTCAGTTTTGAAGGAAGAATTCGAGTTAAAGTATGGGATAAAGGACATTTACAAAGATACACAGGAGTGAAAACATGGCCCATCCAGAGAAGTGCGGTTTGCTCAGGATACTTAGAGCCCAGAGTGTGAAGGCAGGGAATGAAGGGAGGTCAGTTGGAGCAGTAGGCCAGGGCCAGATTGTCAGCGACCTTACATGCCATGCCATGGAATCTTCTGGAGTTTGCCCTGAAAGGAGTGGGAAGATGCTGCTGGATAAGCAGGAGAGTGAGAAAACCAGATATGTATTTTGGAGAGATCCCTGGCAGCAGAGTATAGAATGATTAGAAGGAGGGCTAGAATAGAATCAGGAGACTACTGTGCTAATCCCAGAAGGAGATGGTAGAGGTGTGAATGAAGCAAAGGAAGTAGGAATGGAGATGAGATGGATCAACATAACATTGAAGATAAATGGGCAGGATTTTATCCATGATAAGATGTGAGATAAGGAAGGAAGGGGAATTGCAGATAATAGAGAATACTGTGGAAAAAGTGGATGTGCAGAGTTCAGTTGTGAATATGTTAAGTGTTAAATGCTTATTAGGTATCCGAGTGACTGTGTGTCTCAAGAGAAAAGGACTGAATGAGAAATACAGATTTAACACTTACCAGCATAGTTCATAGTTTCATACTTTAAGTTAAGAATTTGGTTTAGATCAACTGGGGAAAATATCAGACAAAAATGAAAGACATTTATATTGATCTGCTAGGGCTGCCATAACAAAATACTACAGACTGGATGGTTTAAACAACAGAAATGTGTTTTCTCACAGTTCTGGAGAACAGAAGTTCAACATCAAGGTGCCCATAGGGTTGGTTTTTCCTAAGACCCGTACCTTTGTCTTGTAGATAGATGACTGCCTTCTTGCTGCATCTTCACTCTCCCTTGTCTCTTCCTGTTCACTTTACTCTCCTAGTGTCTCTTCCTGTCCTTTTGAGGACACTAGTCCTATTGGATTAAGGCCACTAGTCCTATTGGATTAAGGCCCTACCCTTATAACTTCATTTAATTGCTTCTTTCAAGGCCCTATCTCCAAATAAAGTCACCTTGAGGGTTAGAACTTTAACGTAGGAATGTGGTTTTTTTTCTGTTGTTGTTTTTTTTTTTTTTTTTTTTAAAGACAGAGTCTCACTCTTCATCCAGGCTGAAGTGCAGTGGCGCAATCTTGGCTCACTGCAACCTCTGCCTCCCGGGTTCAAATGATTCTCCTGCCTCAGCCTCCCGAGTTGCTGGGAATACAGGTGTGCACCACCACATCCGGTTAATTTTTGTATTTTTAGTAGAGACAGGGTTTCACCATATTGGCCAGGCTGGTCTCGAACACCTGACCTTGTGATCCGCCTGCCTCGGCCTGCCAAAGTGCTGGGATTACAGGCTTGAGCCACCACGCCTGGCCTAACATAGGAATGTTTTTAGATGAGGGGAACACAACTCAGTTCATAACAATAGCCATGACAGGGCTTTAGAAACTCCACCATTAAAAAGTAGATGAATGAAGAGTTAGTTGTCTGAGTAGTAGTAGAGAATCAAAGGAGAAGAGCACCTTAGAAACCAAATATATTACCTGGAAATTGTATTTAGCCACCTTTCCTAGAAACTCAAAATAACAGTGACTCAAACAAGAAAGAGGTTATTTTCTAAATAAAAGAGACCTAGAGAGGGCATTGTGGCCCCAGCCTGTAATCCCAGCACTTTGGGAGGCCAACGCAGGCAGACTGCTTGAACCCAGGAGTTCCAAACCTCCCTGGGCAAGATGGTAAAACCCCGTCTCTACAGAAAAATAAAAAAATTAGCTGGGCATGGTGGTGTGCACCTGTAGTCCCAGCCACTTGGCAGGCTGAGGTGGGAGGATCACATGAGCCTGGGGAGTTTGAGGCTGCAGTGAGCTGTGATGGCACCACTGCACTCCAGCTGGGGTGACAAAGTGAGACTCTGTCTCAAAAAATAAAATAAAAGAACCCTGAGGCCAGGCATGGTAGCTTATTCCTGTAGTCCCAGCAGTTCAGGAGGCCAAGGTGGAAGGATTGCTTGAGCCCAGGAGTTTGAGACCAGCCTGGGCGACATAGCAAAACCTTGGCTGTGCCCAAAAAAAAATTAGCCAGGCATCATGTTACACACCTGTAGTTCCATCTACTCAGGAGGCTGAGGTGAAAGGATGACTTGAGCCCAGGAGTTCAAGGCTGCAGTGAGCCATGATCGTGCCATTGCATTCTAGGCTGGGCAACAGAGCAAGACCCAGTCTCTCTTTAAAATAAAAAGGAGCCTGAGGCAGGCAGTCCGGAGCAGGTAAGGTGCTTTGACAGTGCTGTCGGTGTCACAGGTTTCTTTTGTCTGCCAGATTACCATTCTTAGCACTCACTTTCCATCCTCCTCAGTTTGCTCATGGTTAAAAGATGGCTGATGAAGCTCTGACTGACGCTTCCATGTTCCACATAGATCGAAGAAGGAAAGGGAACTAAGGAAGCAGGGAGGAGTGGTATAAGAGATTTAGCTGGATTAGCCATCTTCAAAATACTTTTCTGGAAACCCCATCTAATGACTGTTGCTTTGACTCATTCACCATATCTAGCTGAAAGGGGATCTTGTGAATGTGGTCTTTCATCTGATACGTTGATACTCCTAATAACATTTGGGTAAGAAAATAGGAAAGAATAAATATCAAATAGGCAACTAGAAGTCCATCACACTGTGAGAGGGAGAGAGTTTCCAGAGTTTTGGTGGAAGCAAGATTTTTTTTTTGAGATGGGGTATCACCATGTTGCCCAGGTGGGAGTACAGCAGTGCAATCACAGCTCACTGCAGCCTCGACCTCCCAGGCTCAGGTTCAAGCTGTCCTTCCACCTCAGCTTCCCAAGTAGCTGGGACTATAGGTACACTACCATGCCCAGCTAATTTTTGTATTTTTTGTAGAGACAGGGTCTCACTACATCACCCATACTGGAAGCCAGTTTTAAGTGGTATGAGATGAACATGAATTGAAGTGGAAGGAGTGAGCATAAATTACCTTTTTCCAGAAACTTGGGTATTTTTAAAAAAAGTGAGAAACATGGTGATAGTTGGAGGAGTTTGTGAGTTTTTGTCTTGTTATTTTGTTGTTGTTGTTTTTGTTTTATGTGGTTTTAAGATGAGAAAGATTTGAGCACAATTTATGTATTGTGCCGGAGGGCAAGAGCCTGTAGACAAACAAGAGGTTAAAGATAAAAATCAGCAAGGACCCAGAGGAAGTGAAAAAGAATGAGAGATTCCTTTTCAGTCAAATAGTTCTTACACTGAGACTGCAGAGGAGGCTTTAGGCTGTTTGTATTTGTGTCTTGTTACCTGTGGAGTATGGGAGAGGGAGAAGCCTAGAAAGTTCTTGCCTTTATTTCCTCTGTGAAGTAGGTGCTGTGCTCCTGATCAAGCGGGGAGATTATGGTACAGTGAATGGTCATAATAGCTGCTGTGGGAAATGGAATGGAAGCCAACTGAGGGCGTTTAGGGAGATTGCTTTTGCCAGGCCGTAAGGAAGATGTAGCAGAGGCTGCCTGTCGTGGCTCTTGTCCACAGAGCTGAGTGATTTCTCTCACGTGCTTATGGAGGAGAGAACACACATAGTGGGATTGATCCCTACATAATTGGGCGTTTGCAGGCAAATGTGAGGACAAGAAGACAAAAAAGATGAAAGTATTTGCAGGCATGATTCAAGACTAGAGTCACAGTGTTCAAGCTGCTCGCTGATGAAAGGGAAGCCAAGAAAGAGCTGTGAGAGTGAGGAGAGGATGGAAGCCTTTAGGTTCTCCATACAATCCAAGAACAGAGCGGGAGAGCTGGGAAGGATAACTGGTTTGCTTAGAGGGTAAGATATGACATTTAATACATTCTTCAGAAGTGCGACGTTTAAAGAGCTGACCAGGTTGACTGTGTGACCATGAGTATGAGTGAATGAAGTTGAATGAAAATGATGGTCAATGTAGTTGAGAAAGTCTAATAATGGTGAGTATTTTAGGATATAGTTGTGATTTAAAATTTCAGGTGTGGGTCAGTCGGAGTTTGCTGTTGCTGACATGGTTGACATGTTTGTTTTACTACTGCCACCAGCAGGAGGAGATGAGTTGCAGGTAATTATTTTTATTTTTTTCCCCAAAAATACAAACTGTATATCTCTGAAAATAAAAATTTCCAATGTTGTGTTTTTGTAAACTAAGTTGATAGTGGTTTAGAAAATGAAACATCATTCATGTTGGCTAAAATACCTGAAACAAAGGCAGATTCTTTATATTTTTTCCTAACTTACAGGAATAGAATATATGACCTTGAGAATGTAAAATTATGCAACATAAATTTTTCCATCTGTAACATGACTAAAATACATGCATCGCTCCACTCAGAAGAGACCATTGTTGCATAGATGTTGTTAGTATACTTGATTCAAAAGTTCTGGGGATAGTGGGATCCCACTATCATAGTTTATATGTTGTACAATGGGATTCTTACTCTCCTCCTGCACTGCAGTTCTGGCACTACTACCCAAAGTTAGTGCAGACTTCATAGGGTGAGGGCATAGTCCTCCACAAGCCTCCTCTCGCTTCAGACACTAGCTGCAAGCTCCAGGGTTCCCAGGCCACCCATACCTCTGACCAACTGGCTATAAATTTGAGAGTTCCCATTATCCCTTAGGTTTAGTAATTCACTAGAGCAGTGGTCCCCAACCTTTTTGGCACCAGGGACTGGTTTCATAGAAGACAATTTTCCACAGACTGGGGGTAAGAGGGCATGGTTTCGGGATGAAACTGTTCCACCTCAGATCATCAGGCATCAAGTAGGTTCTCATAAGGAGTGCACAACCTAGATCCCTAGCATGCGTAGTTCACAATAGAGTTTACTCTTCTATGATGTTGCCTCTGGTCTAACAGGGCAGAGCTCAGGCAGTAATGCTCGCCCACCTGCTGCCCACCTGCTGTGAGGCCCAGTTCCTCCGTGGCCTGGGGTTGGGGACTCCTGCACTAGGGTGACTCAGAGAACTCAGGAAAGCATTATATTACAATTGCAATGTGCTTATAAAGGAGACAAATCAGGACCATCCAAATGAAGAGACACATAAGAACTCTGGGAGGGCCCAAATGCAAAGCTTCTGTGTCTTCAAGACACATTTCTCTCCTGGCATATTGATGTGTATCACCAACCAGAAGGCTCCCCTGAGCTTTAGTATCCCAAGTTTTTCTTGGGGTTTCATTATATAGGCATGATTGATTGAATAATTGAACTTGATCTCTAGCCCCTGTCCCCTCCCTGGAAGTTAGGTTGATATCACATGGCATAAAACCCCAACCCTCTAATCACATGATAGGTCTTTCTGCCATGGTCAGTCCCCCATCCTGAGTGATCTCATTGCATAAACTCAGGTATAGCCCCAGGCACCTCCCATGATTAACAGACACTACTGTTACTCAGGAAATTCTGGGAATTTAGAACTTAAAAGATTACCTCCCAGAAACTCAAAGACCAGACAAATACTTTTCTTTTTTTTTTTTTCAGAGACAAGGTCTCACTCTGTTTCCCAGGCTGGAATGCAGTGGTGTGATCATAACTCACTGTAACCTTGAACTCCTGGGCTCAAGTGATCGTCCTACCTCAGCCTCCCAAGTAGCTGGGACTATAGCCATGTGCAACCACTCTCAGCTAATTTTTGTAATTTTTTTTTTCCTACAGATGAAGTCTTGCTTTGTTGCCCGAGTTGGTCTTGAACTCTTGACCTCAGGCGATTCTTCTGCCTCAGCCTCCCTAAGTGCTGAGATTACTGGTGTAAGCCACCACACCTAGCCCAGACAAATTATTTGTTATACAATGCTTCTGTTTCAATTTTATAATTCTAAAACACAGTGATTACAGATCATGGCTGCTTATTTAGAAGCATTAACTCTTAGAATTTCATAATTGAAAGTTTTGTTTAAAAATATTTGAAAAGAAATTTTAATCTTATGTGGAAAAACCTGTATTTACTAAATAAGGTTTGACTTTTGGATTTCATCCTTTATTTTTAATATTTTTATGTGACATAATTTGAATTAAGAGATTGAGGTTTGTCCACACAAAGCTGAAAGAAGAAAAATACAAAGTATAAAAAGAAATAATAATAAAAAAAGAGATTGATGGGTTTGTAGACATCAGGTTATTTTTCCTCAAATGCAGATTGAAAATAAAATGCTATATACATTTAAGGAAAATTTCAAAGACTTTTTTCTGGAAATGCAGATGTTAATGATAGGTATGTTTTCTTTTTAAGCACCTTACTGATGGATGGTTTTGCATCCTCCAGTGTGAGCTCATGAGAAGCAGATTCCATCACGAGACAATGTGAACTCTCCTGCCACTCAATCTTGTTGTGACTTGATGTATTTACCCTAATTCCGAATGTATTTCAACATGTTAGTCTCTAAATTTGGAAGAGATATTACAGACGACTTCTATAATTCCAACAGCCAATGCTTTTGAGTAATTTCTGTCAAGTAATGGTGATTCTTGGCATCCAGGGCTTAGGAGGATACAGATGAAAAGTTAATGAAATGTATGACTTTCAAAATCTTAGCATTGACTAGTTTTCCCATTTTTATGTTGGTTGTCATTAAATGTTTCTGATCTCTTTAGGGTATCAAAAGGGGTATAATCGAGATGGCAGATCTGGTAGCTGTAACTAAATCTGATGGAGACTTGATTGTACCAGCTCGAAGGATACAAGCGGAGTATGTGAGTGCACTGAAATTACTCCGCAAACGTTCACAAGTCTGGAAACCAAAGGTAAGCTTGCTTGCATTCTGTATCTTTCACTCTGAATGGATTGTGTACATTAGAAGACAGGATGTAAGTCCCAAACTAGACATATAATCAATCTTGCTTCTATGTGAAGATTATAGTTTTAAAAATCATGACAAAGCCAGAGTGTGTAGTCATGATTTTAAATATAATCCTTTAACCACTAGATGTCAAAAACTAGATCAGAGATGATAGATGTGATTGTAATACTTGATTTGAGCCATTTGGAAGTGATAGCAAATCCATTCTGAAAGGAACCGTCCTTAAGATTATGGAGCAGTTAATGATTTGATTATCTATGTTGGAATTTGAGTAAGAGAGAAAAGGCTTATGATGTGATACCTCCATTCCCATTATGTTTGTTGGGTGCCATTTTCAGTAAGGAAAAAAATTTTAATCCTGTAATAAGTGAGGCAGTAATATTGATGTGGGCCTCTTTATCTGTAGACAGACACTATATTATTAAAGAATAAGCTGCAATCATTATAATGAGAATAATGATGACTTATCTTACTGTCATATCCCAGTTTTTCCCAATCATGTCGTCTGTATTGAGTCTGGAGCCACCTTATATATACATACAGATGTCAGATGCCCAGCTCTTCCACTTACTAAATCAGGCAAATTTGACAGAGGGAATTAGGCTATTTCTCAACCTACCTTCATTTGCTGGCACTCAGGCCTCAGGGGAACCTACCTGGCATTGCCCTTGTCACAAGTCCTCTATGATGCCCCTGACCATCTGAGCAATTAAAATAAAATAAGTTAAATTAAAACAAATCTCTGGGCTTAAAATTTGACCTTGAATCAGTGTTTTATTTCTGCTATGCACTTAGTAATCCTAGGTATATTACATCAGAATATATTTACTGTTTACTTTGTATGTTTACTTTGACACAGCAATAAAGTCTCATTCTTGTCAATTGCCTATTTCTGTAAACTATAAGAATTAACTGGCAGGTATCACAGTCCCCATGAAAATGTTTTCTATCATTTTAAGTGAGATGGTCTGGTTCTTCCCTTTTCAACAGGTAATTCGTATTTCTGCCAGAAGTGGAGAGGGGATCTCTGAAATGTGGGATAAAATGAAAGATTTCCAGAACCTAATGCTTGCCAGTGGGGAACTGACTGCCAAACGACGGAAGCAACAGAAAGTTTGGATGTGGAATCTCATTCAGGAAAGTGTGTTAGAGCATTTCAGGACCCATCCCACAGTCCGGGAACAGATTCCACTTCTGGAACAAAAGGTTCTCACTGGGGCCCTGTCCCCAGGACTGGCAGCAGACTTCTTGTTAAAAGCTTTTAAAAGTGGAGATTATTAAAATTCATCCTGTATAATAATTTTACATATCATTTCATAAAGTATTTTAATAGAAAAATCACTTGTATGCTTATATTTTCCGTAATCATTGCATGGTGCTCTTGTCTTCTTTGTTTGTGACCCATGCTTGAAAACTTGAAGGAAGTTAGATATGAATGGCAAAAGTTAGGCAGTATTTATAAGGTACCTGTTGTATGTTACTGATTTCTGTTTCATTCTCTTCTTATACCCTGGCATGGTGGCCTGTAGGGTAGTTTCTTCTTATTATTCAAGAACACAAAAAGCTAAGGAGAGCAGAAAATATCTTGTACTTTAAAATGCTTACTTTGATTCCATGTTATCTGAATTTCCAGAGAAGATGTAAACAAGAGTGACCATATTTTTAGACTCTTTCTTGAAGCCAGAACGACACACAGTGGGTTGCTAAGAGCCGAAAATCATAATTGACATTTAGTGTACCAGATTATTCTAAGAATTTCTGAAGTCACCATGTACGTGAGTAATGAAACAACTGGAATAATGTGATGATGTGAACATAGTTTTAAAGTCTGCTTGTCTGGATTTGCAGGGAGCCTTCCCCCACCCCCCGACACGATAGGTAAGAGAGCAAAAGGAAACTGGGAAAATCAGCTACAGATAAAATGGGTAATTAATCCCCAGTTCTTGGACCCATTATATTTGTAGCCAATTGGAGTAAACCCCTAAAAGACGAAGTGAGGTCAGAATGATTCAAGGATTATTCAGTTTGAAGACTACCGAAGTCTTCTCTTCTTCCTTGGCCATTTCACTTCATTTTAGTATTTTAAAAATCTTTTTTCTTGATGGTGAATAAGTTTTGTCCTATGGAGGAAGCATAGCACAGTGATTAAGAGCTTGGGCTCTGTAGTTGGACTATGTGGGTTTAAACTTTAACCCAGATCAATCATATATTAGCTATATGAGCTAATCTCTTTAAGCTTCCGTTTCCTCCCTGGTAAAATGAAATTGGTGAATAACTTTCTAAGGTTAGTGAAGATTAAATGAAATAACGTGGGAGAATTATTTAACTGTCATGATGGTGTATAGGAAATACTCAAAGGCTGCTTACTAGCATTATTACATTAAAGTTGTGGGTACCTGCAACTGTACAAACCTGATGTATAATTTCAGTTTTCTCTCATGGTCTTGTTACTACCATCATACTCTTGATATTTTAGGATATTTTATGATTATCTTTGAAGAACCCTTTCTGGTTAATTCTTTGAATATATTTTATACTTATTTGATGGTAGTTGTAACTATGTAGGTTTGAATAAAATTTCTAACCATAAAATTTCTCCATTGCACAAAAAGCCTTTATAGAAGTTTCTGACATGTTCTATTCTGAACCCTGTAGAATATTTTATGTAGTATAGCAGCTTGCATTGTTACTTACTGTACTGGTTCCTATGTGGAATCAAATCTCTTGAGCATTGTTTTAACAAACATCCCTTTACATTTTTTGGAAAGATTTTTAGTACTCCATTGGCATAGCTATTTCATAAAAGGTTTAGGAGAAACTTTGAAAGGTTGTCCAGTTGACTTTTCTGATTTTAGAAAGGACCACCATGAAACTACCCTATCAGACAAAAAACTGGTTTTTAGAAACCTGAGATAAGGAATTTTATAATTTCCCTGAGTAAGCTGTTACAGGGAATAACAAATCTATTGCCATATGTGGCACAGTGTAAGTAATGCTGGAGCACACATACTGCATTGTAAAGAAGGTAGGAAAGGTGGGGGGACTTCTGTTAGCTTTAATTTTAAGGCTAAAGCATTTCTTCTCAGTCTGAACTACTTTTAAATGTTATAAATGTCATCATAAAAATCATTAGAAAACTCGCTTCTCCTTATGTTGTCATTGTACCATTGGGTATGGTATAGAGACCAATTTCTAAGAGATTTTTACCTCTGTTTCTGTTATTTGCTATACTGGAGGTGATATAATAATAATGAAATGTAGCCTTTTTTTTCAACTCAGAAATCCTATTCCCTCTCCCCATCTGTGATTATATCGTACTGGACTTCTGACTTGGTCAAAAGCATAGGTTTTGACTTAGATACATGTGGGGGCCGATCTCAGCTCTATCACTAACTAGCTATATGATATTTGGCAGGTTTTTTCTCTATATGCACTAGTTTGTTTATCTGTAAAATTAAGATAATAGCTACTTACAGGGTTGGAAGTATTAATTTAGAAATTATACAGTGCTTAGCACTCAATAATTGGCAGGTGGTGGTGTAAATATTTTACATAGATATTTGTGACAGTTCTTTGTTCTATAAAACAGACTAATATTAATTTCAGATTGGCCAAGCTACTTAATTTCTCTGTGCCTCAGTTTCCTCACTATTAAATGGGGATGACAGTAGTATCCACCCAGAGCAGGACTATTTTAGTATTACATGTAATCCTTGGATATAAGTGCTGATGAAGTTTGGATATTTGTCCCCACCCAGATCTCATGTTGAAATGTAATCCCCAATCTTGGAGGTGGAGCCTGGTGGGAGGTGTGTGGATTAGATCATATCTCTCATGAATGACTTGGGCTATCCTTTGGGTGGTAAGTGAGCTCTTGCTCTGAGTTCACACAAGATCTAGATCTGGTCATTTAAAAGTGTGTGGCACCTCCCCATCCCCTACTCTCACTTGCTCCTACTTCCATCATATGACATGCCTGCTCCCCTTTCACCTTCTGCCATGATTGTAAGCTTCCTGAGGCCTCCCTAGAAGCTGAGCAGATGCCAGCACCATGCTTCCTGTCATCTGTAGAACCATGAACCAATTAAACATCTTTTCTTTATAAATTTATAAATTACCCACTCTCAGGTATTTATAGAAAGAACAGCCTAATACAAGTGCTAAATACATATTTGACAATAAACAGCAGTTATCACTTAGAACTGTTATGAGGATTAAATGAGTTACAGTGTCCATTCATCTCAAAAAGATAATTCTGAAAAAAATTTCGTAGGTTCACTTTGCCTTGTCAAGAATATAATTACCAGTCTGGGCATGGTGGCTCGCACCTGTAATCCCAGCACTTTGGGAGGCCAAGGCGGGCGGATCACGAGATCAGGAAATTGAGACCATCCTGGCTAAAACAGTGAAACCTCGTCTCTACTAAAAATACAAAAAATTAGCTGGGCATGGTGACAGGTGCCTGTAGTCCCAGCTACTCGGGAGGCTGAGGCAGGAGAATGTCATGTACCCAGAAGTCAGAGCTTGCAGTGAGCCAAGATCACGCCACTGCACTCCAGCCTGGGTGACAGAGTAAGACTCCATCTCAAAAAAAAAAAAAAGAGTATATTTACCATTAACTTCTGTAGATAGGAAAAAAATATGCTGAGCTCTAAAACTGGCAGACATTTTGCTAAAACAATATCAAATCTCATTAAAATGATGACAGTTATTTCAATAGTTGACATTAGCTATCCCAATACAACCTAACGGGGCATTTTCTCTTCATAATCACTCGATCATATGGCCATTTACCTGCTTTCCCTAAGCTTTTGTAGCTATTGCCCAGTGTACACTGAAGACAACAGTTAACGAACAACGTATGTGTGATAATTTATGTAGTTGAAACTCTAATGCCCGAAAAAAAAAAAAAAAAAACAGGAAAAATTAGTGAAAATCATTCAAACATTGTGCTCACCAGGTAGACTGCCATCATAGAAGTCATAATGCTACTGCTAAAAACTAGTAAACTACTAGTAAACTGTGAAGACAGAATTAACTCCTGTGATCTATAAGTTTGTGCAGATGGTGGAGCTTTGCTGCTTCTAAAGCCTGGGAAATGCAAATGTGGCTTCGTTAAAGCAAATGCTTCCTACGCCAGACTTTATGAAACTCCTCCTAAAGCTGAATTCTTACCCAAGTGGACATATGTTAGGGTGCCATTGTAATTCAGGTAGAGTGTCAGAGTGGTGACTGGTACTAACAGTAGGTGTTCTAAACATTAGTATTATTCAGATAAGACTACAAAACTGGTGAACATGTCAAAACTTTAAAAGGAACAATCAGAAAAACTCTTTAACAAATGTTTTTCTTTCTATAGTATTTTAATTTATTTTTCTAAATTTTAAAATTTGCTAAATTTATGAACATTTTTATCCCACTTGAGATGAATACTTAGTTCCTGTCCCATGAAGCTTCTGTAGATTTGCTTTGTCATTTGTGGTATGTTTGATAACAAAAATGTTAGTGGCACAAAAGCAGTTATGTTGAATGCTTTTGTTTTAGAGAAAATTTCCCACTCTGTACTAGAAAATGTAGATGATGTGAGTCAAAGTTCATTAATGTTTACCCGAAAATTTGTGTATAAAGGTAACCTTGGGGCAGTTTATTTTGCTTAGCCCCCTCAGCTTCTTGATAGAATGAGGTGAGGGCGTATGTAAGTCAGTAAACTCTTCTGTTAGTAAGGTCAAAGGCTTAATCGAAATTAATTATGCTTTTAACTAACACAGAAGAAATCATGTGACCTCATTCTCAAAGCTCGTAACATCCACCTGGCCAATCTTGAGATGTGGATAGAATTCTTTTTTTTTTTTTTCAATTTTTACAATAATTTTTGACATGTTGAAGCTGTACATGTTTATGGGGGCACAGTTTGATGTTTCAATACATGTATATGTTGTGTAATGATCAAATTGGAGTACTTAGCATATCTATCCTCTCATGCATTTATCATTTCTTTGTGGTGAGAACATTTAAAAATCCTCTTTTCTAGCTATTTTGTAATATATACTACCTTACTGTTGCAAGCCATAGTCACCCTACTGTGCAACAGAACACCAGCACTTATTCCTCCTATCTAGTTGTAACTTTGTACCCATTGACCCCCCTTTCCTTCCTTCTGCTCTCCCCTCCCCAGTCTCTGGTAACCATGGTTCTGTTCCCTATGAGATAAAACTTTTTTTAGATTCCACATGAGTAGGATCATGCAGTATTATTTCTTTTTCTGTGTCTGGTTTATTTTCCTACACATAATGTCCTCCAGGTTCATCCATGTTGTTGCATGGTGTTAATCT